TTTATTTTAATCGAAAACGTTTGGCTCTTTTCGAAAACTTTTATTGTGATCTATACAATTTAATTTTGAACGACACAATTTTATTTTGTTGTTGGGAAAAAATGTTTTGCCTTTGTCGCTAAAATTTTATTTTGATCGCTAAAATTTTATTCTGATCGCTAAAATTTTATTTTCGACGGCAAAACTTTATTTTGATGGGAAAAATTGTTTTTGTCGATAACATTTTAATTTATCGTAAATATTTTATTTTTACGGACATCACATTTTTTGTTTTTATCGATAACATATCCTTTTGTTTGTATCGATAACATATCCTATTGTTTTTTTCGATAAGATATCCTTTTGTTTCTATCGATAAAATAGCCTTTTGTTATTATCGATATCATTTATTTTTGTCAATAACTCTTTATCTTGATCGATGCATTTTTTTTCTATGTAAGTATGTATGATACTTAATTGTAATGAATAACATTTCATTTGTATTGAAAATATGTGTTTTTATCGATATTATAAATGTGAATCTATAGTTTTATATTTAAACCGATAACATTTTATTTCATCGATTACTTTTGTTTTTTAACGTTTTTTTTTTTTATTTTTGTCAATAACATTTATGTATTTTTATCCATAACATAAAATTTTTATAAAAACATTTTATTATTACCTAAATCGCTATAAAATACTGTACATTTATCGAAATATAGTGGTCCGCAAACGGTTTGCCTTAGAATCTTAAATTCAAATCTCATTTTAACCTTAATTTTTAATACCCGACCACACTTGTCCTCGAGGTATTGAAAACTTGCAAATTTGGAAAATAACGATACTCAATGCCCATTTAACGTTAGTGTTCGGAAATACAATAGTATGCTCCGATATTTCCGAGCGCTGAACGCGTGAAAAGCGCTAGACGATTGATGTGTAGTTCTCGTTTTAGATTTTTACCTTAGAGTTGCAATGCTTTAACCACAAAGAGTAGCGCGAAAGATGACACTCAAAAGAGTGCCGATTTTCTTCGCCAATCAGGGAACACACATGTGTACAGTAATTAAAAACTTTCAAATCAATTTCCTGGTGTTGGTTGTTGGAAAACCACAAAAGCGTAATATATCTCATACATATGAAAACTTTGCTTACAGTATGAGTACATATGTATGTATGCGCACTAGGGTGGTTCAAAAACGGAGGAAAAAGTAAAGTCGGAATTTTTATGCTCTCACCCCCTAGGATTGTTGTATACTGAAAAAAATATAAACTTTTTTTTTATTATTTGATCAAAAAAAATATTTAGAGGCCGCTCAAAGCGCTCAAAGTTTTCCATGTATTTTATATGTGGAAAAAATCACTTTTCGTAAAATTGGTATATAATTCTTGAAAATCAATGTTTTTCGATCGGAAAACTTTGCTTCAGATAATTTCCAGTAATAATATCCAATTATTTATTTAACCATTTTTTCATTGTAACTATATTTTATAGGTCCGCCAATACCCTCAGAAAATGCCAGAAAATGCAATAGGGGGATAAATAAAAAATCTTTAGAATTAAAAACTGTTTAAATAAACAATTAGGCAATAAACAATTGGGCAAGTCTCCTGAAGAGAACCAGAGTTTTCTGATCGAAAAATTTTGACTTTCAAGAATTCCATACCATTTCTACGAAAAGTGTTTTTGCCCAATATAAAATACATGGCAAAACTTTGAGCACTATATTTGGATATTATTTTGCGTATACATGTACATATGTAACATAGATGTTTACATACTTACATACTATACATGCGTATGCATAAATTCTCTCACAATTTTTTTTCCTCAAATTTCTTTGCTATTTGAGAGAACCAAAGCCGTCCTTGTCTCAATTCCAATAAATTTTTATTTTTATTTTTCCCAAAATCAATAAAAGGTACAAAAAAAAAATAAAAATAAAAATAAAAATAAAGAAGCATAGTTGTAGTCCAATAACTTCACGAGCAGTTCAACTATGCAGTTCGTTTACCTATTTTTACAAGTTTTTGTTTTTTTTTTTTGTCCAAAGTATGGATATGCCTTTGTATACACATACGTATGTAAATATTTCGTTTTCATTGCACCCTCGCTCGCTTAATTTCTTTGTCTTCTCAATCGGCAATAAAACGTGCCGGCTATTTTTGAAAAAATCTACCTCATCGTCGTTGAAAACACCAGACATTCAAATGAATAAATGACAATTTAATATAGACACTTACCTCGAAAAGTCTACAATAAATTCTACATCTCCGCCACGAAAGCCACACATATCATCAGCTAGCGTCAAAAACAAGTTGCGCTAGCCAGTTGCTTTTATTCAACGAACACTCGTTTGTTTACTCATTCTTCCCATAAATAAGAATTTTATTTTAATGCTGCATGACTTTGATGCGTGAAACCCCTTTTGGCAGAGTATTTGTATGTAAGTATGTATTTCGTTAAAATATAAAATGAAATAAATAACAATGTAGATTTAAAAATAAAATAATGTGAAATAGTAAAATTTACTTAAAACGTGATGTGTTGCCCTTTACATTATACGCACAAACATACGTACGTACGTATTGTATGTATATGTTTAGGAAACAAAGTATGGCAGGAAAAAGCGCAGATCTCAGCAAAGTGGGAAGTAAGTATGTATGTATGTAGAATAGGTCAAAGATCTACAACGCGATACTAGGCAGGTGATAAAGATGAGGGTATAGTCATCGAAAAGATAGACCCAGTCAATGAGCGGATGGAGTCTGCATTTAAAAATGATAGATCTTTAAACATTTTTAAGGAATTGCCAATTTAGTTTTATTTTATTTTATTTATCAAAGAAATATATTTTTGTGGTTGATACCCTACATCACACTTAATTCTAAATTTATAAGTCGTAATTAATCTCTTGGTTCGCGAAGAGCGTATACTTAGGAAAAGCTCGAATGTATCAATCAGGGACATAACGGTTATAAGTTTTATAGCAAAAAAGTTGTTCCATAACAGTTATTAGATGAGAAATATTTTTTATTTCGTCGATAAGAGTTATAACCCAACGCTTTTTTTACGTTGCCTGATAACTGTTATGCAAGAGAAATATTTTTTCCGTTGCCGATAAGAGTTATTTCCCAACGTTTATTTTTTTAAGTTGCTTGATAAGAGTTATTTTACAACGTTTATTTTTTACGTTGTCTGATAAACGTTGTAAGATTAGGATATTGATGAAGATGGAGGTGGAGAATAAGATAAAGATGATGAATTAAAAGTGAGAGAGTAAAATAACTCTTATCAGATAACGTAAAAATAAACGTCGGGCAATAACTGTTATCGAGCAACGTGAAAAATAAACGTTTTGAAATAACTCTTAACAGCAACGGAAAAAATATTTCTCATCTAATAACTGTTATGAAACAACGTTTTCGTTAAATTTCAGAATTCAGTCAACGTTTTCAATTTGCAAATTCGAGTGCAAGAAGGAGATATAGGAACATACAGGCAATGAGATGTCGGACGAGCCATCTTGGAAGAGGTTCGGGTTGCGATTCGCCATTTGCAAGGTGAATACACAAGAATTCTGCTGTTATAATGACTTCTGCCGTAGCTGCAAGAATGAGGAAGAGTCTGAATACAGAATTTAAGTACCTGAGCGATATAGTGGTGGCATAGATATCGGGTATAGTGTCAGAAAATCTTATAGCCTTTATAGTACAGTACAACTGTAGTGAACAGTGTTTGGACTAATGAAAGTCGATTCAGAAGTAAATCGCTCATTAGTAAGATTTTGCTTAACTTTAAATTTTTTATTGAAACCCGTTCGTTAACTGTCAAAAACGGGCCTAAGAAGGGCAGAACATGAGTGGAAAAACGGAGTAGATTTGAAGTCAAGCGGCGTAGGGGAGTAGATTTAATTTCATTAAATTCAAAAAGCGGAGTAGAAGCTTAAACAGACGGCGGCGTTGATCCGGATTAACTCGGACTTAATCCGGATCAACTGCAGTTAATTCCCGAGTTAATCCGGATCAACGCTGCCGTCTCTTTATGCTTTAAATCTGCTCCGATCGGAAAGGGGTACGAACACTGGTAGTTATTTGTATTTTTTTAATATAATCACCGATGCCCCTAAGTTGGCGGAAAACACAGGTTTTCGACGTGGGTTCGGAAGGAATTTGCAAAGGGTTGCAAATTCGCAAGGTGCACTTGATGAATAATTTTTCTTTGCGTTATTCGAGAAATTTTTTTTGATGATGCATTTCCGAACGTTCTAAAAACATTTTTTGGTGATGCATTTTCGAACGTTTTTTTTGCAGTTTACTTCTAAGTTTAAAATTTTTAAAATTGATTGGAATTGATGATGGTTTTGGCGACATTTTTACTTCTTAATTTGTTAGTTTTGCCGGCTCGAGGTCAATTTTTTTTTTGGAATTTTAATTAAAACAGGTTTTTAATTTTCTGCAATATATTTCGGTTACACTGCGGTAACCGTCTTCAGGGCAACAATTGACACCAAAAAAAAAAACGTAAAATACACATAAAACATACATATAATATAAAAATTTTCGTAACAATAATTAGACACTAGATACATACATTGATTACACATTGATTAATTGGAATTTGGAGTACGCAGCTCTTTAAATTCTAGTATAATTTAGTGAAAACTTCACTGCCTATTTAGGGGAAAAATTGAATGAACTTAAATATGTATGTATCTACATACCTCTACCATCTCAGTCAAATGGTTAAGTATGTACTGTTATTTTTATATGGCGAAACCACGCTAAATCAAGTGGGTTATCGGGATAACCAGCGCAATCGCCATAACTACACCACCCACAGTTTGGCACGCAGTGTATTGAGGCAAATTCGGCATTTGACGTACATACATACATACATACTTTCGAGAATTTCGAAAACAATAATAGACAGCCATGATAAATCTATTACAAATTATTTTACTTATTTTCTTTGAACAATTGAAAAATTTGCTAAATTTACCAGTCAATTCATTTATTTACTTTTACTGGAAATAATACATATTAATATCCAACAACAGCAAACAAAGCAATTGTAGGAGCATCACCAGTACACGTTCACTGAACGAGAACGCCAACTCTCAATGCGTCGGAATCGTAGAAAACCACAACGTAAACAACGTCGTCGTAAAATCACCAAAGGCAAACAACATCGCAAAACCGTCAGCAGCAAACAAAGTCTAGAGCGCCGAAGAATCGAGCGGCAGCAAGAGAAATTGCGAAAAATGTCATTGAAATTTGGTAAAACCGTCGCTCCAAATTTCGGACGCGCTTTTCAAAATAGCAAACGTCAACTCACAAAGCATCCATACTTGAACTACTTGCGACACTTTAAGAGTAAACATCCCAGTTACGGATTCACACGTATACTACGTGAAGGTGCTGAGTCATGGAAGCGCATGTGCCCCGAGGAGAGGCAAAATTTCACACAGAAGGTATTCGATTTCGGTGCATTATCGGAAGCGTATGAAGTGAGAGGGTTTATGAATGCATTATCCCCTAGCTATAGCGCTAGGTCGTTTCATAAAGTCATTCCATATTCGATGTTTAAAACTTGCAGTCGCACAGTGTAAGAGATCTCGTGATCCTTACTGCTCTATAAAGAATCGAATGAAAAATCTAAGCTAACAGCTTTCATTGAACCTCTTCTCTTTATACTATTTTAATTTTGTAATATTTCTCATTAATTTTTAATTTCTAGGAAGTGTTAAAAAGTCTACGCAAAAGTTCAAATATTCCCAGCAAATTCGATTTGTTTTCTAAACGTCCCGTGCAGTTCGACTATTATCCACGTTCGCTTAGTGTCAGACGCAATGTTGCACGCAAACTACGAAATCGAAATTTATTGCCACGCCAGGACAGGCGAGGCAGGGCATCCGTCAATCCAAGAATTTGGCAAAATTTTAATCAAATTCAAACAGAGCGTCGTTGGTGGCTATGAATTATCTAGTTGTTGTTATACCGATATGGTTGTCTAAATTACTTAAGCTATAGTCATTTTTTTCGATATGAATTATATGATTTCGCATAAATGTGTTGCGTGTTGGGCAAAGAAGAGAATTTTTAATAAATATCGTAAACCTTTGAAAAAATTTTCGGTAGAATAGCGGACAACATCTATGTATATGTACATCAATGTGGGTGGAATATGAGGTAATTCGGTATAGTGTTTGGTAATAAATAAGGAATAGATATGAAAAATAACACGACTTGGCTGTTTTAAGGTATAACTTGGGCTGCTAGGCTCTAATTGATGATAAAAATGACAGCAAATGCGAATTAGAAGAAGAAATCGTAGGGTCAACAGTCGCAAACGTTCCTGGTAAAACTGGACTTATTCGTTCTATGTACGGAACCGTGCCATCGTGAGAAGCCACGGCGAACATTTACGGATGTAAATACAAAAGAAAAAAAAATATATGGACCTATTAAATAAAACTGTAGGTCCCTCCCCTTTGTGTGACAACCTCAAGGCGCACGCCACAAATCGGAGGAAAAGCTCGGCCAAGCACTAACATATGTGTAAGCGCTAATTCGCAAAAACTCACACACAGCTTGTTTTATTCCATTTCAACACCCGTATGTCCTGATTGAAAACCCCCTATTCAAAGTCGGTGGAAAAGAACAAATTCGAATATTTCGAAGTCTCTTTTTCTACCAATGAATACTCAAAAGTGCTGATAAAAAAAAATGCGTTCGAGTTTCTTAGAGAGATACATATCTCTAGGGATAGTACAGACAAAATTCTGTTAGAATGTAGAATGGGGTTATTTTTAGAATATGAGGCCAATGCTATTTTCTCTTCAAGTTGGTGATACAAACAAGACAAAAGATGTCTCTGTCATATGAGGACTATGATAATGTTAACCCAAGCTTCTTGGAGACCTTTGTATTTTACGAAATTCAATTATAGCATTGACAGGCCGCACCGTTAATCCGCATTAACGGAGCAGTTAATCTGATCAAAATTGTAACAGACAGCATTTTTATTTTTTATTTTTTCAGTTCAGTTACAAAAATTAAAAAAAAATTAAATTATTAAATAAAAAAATAAAATAAATTAAAAATTAAATAAAAACCAAAAAATAAAATAAAAAATTAAAAATTTTAAATTTAATTTCAGTAATGTTATTGAGTTCAATAAAATTGCTAAAAGTAAATATTATTAATAATCTTGTTAGTGTAGGCGTAACTTAACTTACGCAAGAAATCGTCAATGATTACGTCACGTAACGATAACACGCAAACTTAGCCATAAACGAAAATATTTTGTTTTTGTATTTTCCTTTTCAGCTGATGGTCACGTGGCCACCTATAAGCCACAACAAAAAATTTCTGAACAAAAATATATTGCTTTGGCCAATACGTTAAGTTTAGACTAACTGAACATTGAGCTACAATAATAACAAAAAAATTTACCGAACTGCGGTACGAATCGCTCGGCTTTCGCACTTACTTACATACTTTGTTCGCTTAGTTTATTTTTCATTCACAATAGACAACATCTGGCCGTTTTGCTCCATGATATTTTCATCATGTTTTGATCAGTGTTGTCATCGAAAATATCCCTGATCAGCATTAGTTTTGAGAGTTAATACCAATGAAATTTTTCTTGTAAAAAAATCGGGTAATTCGAGATTTTTGTATCTACTTTGATTTTACTTAGCGAGAAAATTCAAATTTCGAATCTACATTGAACTTAACCACCTGTATGTCCCTTATAAATAGATAATAGAAAAAAGAGAGTGCCTCATAAGTCTATGAAAAGTGATGTATGTAGGCCCAGCTTTTCCTTCTGTGCATCTTGATTTAATCCCACACATATGGACAGCTTCGAGTGCCTGTGAGTAAACTTAATTTTTTTTATAAGAATATTTATTTATGGAGAAAAGGTGCTCTTTGGTTTCCCAACCTAGGACATGTTTTTTTTTTACCATCTGTCGTTTTTATGTTTTGCAAACACAAGGGGGGTGTGTAAGTTGTACACACGTTCACTACGTACCCTTATCGCAGTTTCGCCATCATTTCAAAAAATATGTGGGGAATCAAATAAGGAGCAAGTATGTATGTATTTTGCAATAATATGCGCGCATACATAAATGCTGTTCAAAGTCCAAGTACAGAGAAATACTAACAGCACTGCAATATTTTCTTCACACTCTTTGCAATTTCTTATATAATTTTACTATGACTGCTATCGAATATTGCATACATATGTATGTATGTATGTATGTTTGTATAACGATAAATAAACTTATTATTTGCTTTCTTTGCGTACATATTTGATTGCTAAGCTGTTTCGCATACGATTTGCATTCGATTGCCAATTGTGTTGACACATTATGCGTGTCGGCATTCGTCCATTCCTACATTTGTCCACATCAAATTGCTAAGAATGTCTCAATCAAAAATGGTTTTTCTGCCATCACTTTTAGATATCATTTAACAATTGGGTGTCGAAAATGGAGTTGTTAGTATCAAATTTATGGTGCGTTATCGAATTCCATTCAAATGCAATGAACTCGTAATGGCACGAATCGGGTTTTTTTTTTTGTTCGTAAGCACTCATGCATACATACGTTCATACCCGCATACATAAATGAAATAGCAATCTCAAATAAAGGCGGTTAATTTTATTTTAAATGATAGTTAATATATTTTTTAATTTGCATGTATCTATTTACAAATATCTGTCTATATTTGTTCGAGACGATTAATATAGTATGCTATGCACAAAGTAATGTGTTCAAGCCTTATTCGATTTCGAGTACAGGCTATGAAATGCGAGTCTAGACAGTGTTCGGTGTTCAAGTGGTGGCGTAGTTATTTTAATGGATTCAGTTTGGGTTGGCATAAGTTTTACAAAATATGTGCATATGTACATTTGTATGTGAATGTGTGCATTGAATAGAAAAATGTTAGAAACATTATTAAAATAATAAAACTATCCTTAAAAAATTCGAAAATTCTAAAAGAATGATTGCCCATCTAGAACTACTCGAACTTCGTTAAACTTTTGATTCGACAAAAAACCCAAATTGAAAGGTAAAGGATTTCACCCAGAAATTCTCGAAGTTCCACTAGTATAGTGACAGAATAATTGTTGTATCAGAAAATCGAAGGTAAGAGGTCATCGATTTCAACGGCTTCATTGATCAACCTTTGAAATTCATATGAATAAACACGGTTTGAATTGAAAAAAAAAAAACGGATTTTTGTTCTAAACCCAATATGAATTTTATTCCACGGCATGTAGCATCAAATGGCACAATAGTCAGTATCGTAAAAAAAACAGTGGGCCACTAAAAAAAAGACACTAAAATATTTTTACTTGTACATATGTTTGTACACAGTGTATTTTTAAAACCTCTTTTCAAACTTGGTTTGTTTCAAACTTTTTTTTTTTTGCTGGGACCCAGCCTATTACGCATATCATTCTGGCTAAGGTTTCGATTTTAGCTTAAATAATGAACTACGTATATCTTGTGGTTAATGCCATGTCAGTTTTAATTAGGAAACTCAGTTTACAGCGGCATTTATGTACATAGATACATATCGTCGTTTAAAGTACAAAACCGCCTATCAAGAAAATGCAAAATCTCGTATGAGAGGTTGCCCAAATTTTATAGGAGAGAGTAAAACTTGTCTTATTTCAAAACGGTTCTCTCTTTTATTCCTAATTTTCTCTTCTTCTTATGTCTAAGTATCTAGATTTATGAATAATGGATGCCAGGAGTTTCCGGTGAGCAAATATCTTTTTTGGCACAAATGCCAGTTACGAGGTTTTGCAGAACCACGTTACGCGGTTTTGTACTTTAAGCGACGATATGTTAGTATGTACATACAAACTTTCATACGCGTGAACACGTTGGTGTGCTGCAGGTATCCATAACCATTTTTGCACAATCAACTACATCCATATTTGTAACATACTACCCGTACATATGTGTTACTACACAGAAACCACAGCAGCGCATAAAAGTTGTTTTAAACGTTAGACATATTTGTGTATGTGAAAAAGAAGGTAAAATACAAAAGCAAACAATAGAGTAAACAAATTTTAAAGGAACACTAGAATAATTAATACAAATTAATGAAAAAATTTAAATTCCAAAAAAAATTAATCCATAAAAAAAAAATAAAATGAAAAACAAAGAAATCAAAAAATAATAATGAAATATAAAAAAATAATAATAAAAAATTTAAGGAAAAAAGTGAGAAAAAATATTTTAAATAGTAATAAGTTTATAGAAAAAAGAATGAAAGTACATGATAAAACAAAAGAAAAACTAAAAAGAGAAAGTAATAAATTAAAGGAGAAAAATAATAAATTCAAGAAAAAATAATAGATCAAAGGAAAAAAGTAAAGTAATAAAAAATAAAATAAAAAAGAAAGAAAACAAATAAAGGCAAAATCAATAAATAGATTAAAAAATAAATCAAAAGAAAAAAATAAAGTACTGCTAAAAATTATGAAAGCAAAACAAAAACTAATAAAAAAGAAATAACAAAAACAATACGAAAAATTATATAAAACAAAACCACAAATAATTAAAAAGAAATAATAATCAAAAACCAAACCTAAAATAATAAAAAACCACAGAGAAAAACATTAATTAAAAAAAATTAAAAACATATTAAATAAAATATCTATAAGAAAATAAATAAAAAAGCTTAAAATTTAAATTAAATATAATATAATAGAATAAAATCTTTTAAATAAAAGGAAAAGATAAACCACTTTTTAATAATAAAACTAGTAATTTTTAGCAAAAAAAAAACCGACTTCAACTCCCATATAAAAAAAAAATATATATATATATATCTCAAGATCCGCTGATCAGATCTTAACCAGATTAGTATGGGACCACCTCTGAGACACTACCTTTCCGATGCAAAAATCGAAATCGGTTGACGTGGTCCAAAGTTATGCGGTAACATACATAAAAAAAAAAACAAAAAAAAAAAAATATTCCGATGAACTGATAACCTCCTC